TCACAACGTTTAACGTTTGTTATATGTTAATCGTTACAAAATCAGTTACAAAAATTAAACCTTAGAGTATACCTGGGGTACATGTGTCAGAAACAGCTATGTATACACATGAATTAAAATATTATTGTCCTTTAAATAACGTTAGTTTATTACGAAAGTGTCTTTCACTTTGCATGTCTTCCATAGCTTCTTTACCAATATGGTACAGCCTAATTTTTATATATTTGCAAGCAATTGCTTTTATTAAATGGATTATATGATTTTCTAAAGGATTTTGGTCATAAGAATGTTGCTTTAAATTTGAAAACAAATTATCTGTTTCGATAAACTTTGTAAGAATGGAATTCACAAGATAATTTTCTTTGAATTTGTTTTTCATTAATTTTCCTCCACTTTCATATAATGCAAAGCGAACGACTCTTTCTGCTTCATAACAAATTTTTATTACACTACATGATGGATATTGTAAGTTGCCGCGACTTTTTGTTTGTATTAAAATAGTACTGATATCTTTTTCATTATCCGAAGTTAATGCATTAACGCATTCCTCGCAATACAATGATTTTTTTAAATGTCTTACTACAAAACCAGCAATATATACAATAATTCGTGACGAAAATTCAGTTATTCTACGAATGTCTGGAAAGTATCCGTGATCGCTTATTATATCTGCAGTTTCATTCAAATTTAATTGCCGATCATTATGAAATGGAACTGAAGTATTGATTATTTGTTCACTATTTTGTGAAGAAGTCACGTGCAAAATTGTTATATTTTCAAGAGGTATACAATTACCACAACCTGAATCTCGAATTTCAGAATGAATTAATAATTGTTTTATAGCTGCTTTAAATTGACGTGCTGTTGGGTTATTATTATAACCCCCTTTGGATCTAATACAACCAAAAAATAATTCTAAGTGATCTTGACTTATTTTGTATGTTGGAATATATTTCAAAATACTGTTGTTACAAATTTCATCATACAATCCCTTTAAACTTTCAATACATATTAAAAATCCAATAAGACCAGTTTTACGTATAGAGTCGACAATTCGAGTTCCACGTTGAAGGTGCAGATTTAAAATGTAAGTTTTACACTCCTCCAATTTGTTCATTATATGTGTGTAATTAAGAGAATTAATAGGTTGTTTGTAATTAAACTGTCTCATATTTTTTGAGTTGAATATATCAAAAAGATCATTAAATTTAGCTAAAAAATCAATTGTTGCTGAACAATCCTCAAACTGTGGAAGACGTAAGTGTTCTTTACAAACTTCAAGTGCTTGAGCAACAGATGTACTAAATAATTGAGTAGCGAAACGAACTTTCATTTTCTGTTTCCGAAAATGAATATGTGCTGATCTTAGCTTATTACCTAAATGTAGTCCTTCCTGTTGTTGTAAGTTATGTAGTTCTGTAATGTACTGCCATTTGATAAGTTGCTTTGATCCATCTAATATGATTTTCAAGTCTCCAAACAAGTTACGAACAAGCTTTATCATATGACATGGATCAGGAAAAACAAACACTTTGTCGTTCGTAACTGGATGAGGAAACCAAGTCTGTAAAACATTGAGTGTAAAATTGCATTTTAATTTTGTTGCCGTAGAGAAATTTGTAGCAGCACCATCAAAAGTTAATGCACACACTCTTACACCAGCATCGTGAAGTAAGCAAATACATCGATTAATCAGACTACTTTTCTGATCCGCCGTTATTCCATTAATCAAAAAATAGCCCACAGGTACTTTCCATGCAGCATTCATACACACAAAAAGAAAAACCAAGGCATCTTTGGCAATCTTAGTATTATCGCTTATAATTTCATCCCCAAAATCAACATAGCCACTAAATTTTTCACCGTCATATTCAATATGTTGTCTAATTGACATTTCATCATAAATTAAGGTGCCGAAAAGTGGGTAATCTGTAACTTTTACCCGTTCAGAAATACTATTTAGTGCTTCTTCCATAAAACCAGGATTTCCATTGATTGATTTATACCATTTGCTTATAGATTTGGGGTGTGGAAGACATGAATTAAAATGTTCACGTACATAATTGTATGCTTTGGGTGAGTAGAAGTGCAAGGTTAGTGCAAATTTTCGAAGCTCAGAAGGATATTTTTTAGAAAGGAGGGTTTTTCTATTAGAAGATATATTATGCATGCTTTTTGCAGTTAAACGCTTAAACAATGGTATATTACACTCACCAATTGTTTTCAATAGATCTGCATATTCGTCTGTAAGAAATCTTTTCTGTTTCAGTTCTTTTAATATTACATTTAAATGTGCGATTCGTTTTGCTTGACGCTTGTTTTTCTGTTTCAATGTTCGCACCTGCATCTGATAAAATTTTTTTTGATTCACTAAAGCTTGGCGTAGAAATTTTTTTCTTGGTGTATCCTCTAATCGCTGATTAGTATGATCAAATGTAGAACACTGTTTGTTTCTTTTTAATGTAATTTCGTTATCATCACTAGCACCTTTTCTGTGACATGTTTGAATTACTGTTGATTCCAACTGTAATTGTAAAATAAATTATTTAATAAGCAATAAAAAAAATATTATAACATGAGCACATTTTTCATTATATAGTTTTCATTATATTTTGTTCAATATACATATATAGAATGTAATTGAAATATATTTACTGTTACTTCGTCATTAGAAACAGATGTTCTGAATGAAATTTCCGTTGGTATTTCGTCCGATACATGATGGGAAGTTTCCATTGGTTCAGTTTCATTATCTTTTAAAGCGCTCGACTGTAAATATAATATTCGAAATTATTGATGTAAATATGTAATTAGTTGAATGTAATTAGTCTTATCCTCAAGAGAAATACTCACAATCAAATCATTATTATGCGTAGATTCTGATAATGAAATATTAACTGATGTACTTGGCATTGATAAAATTTCATCTTTTTTTGTATTTTCAATATATTTTTCTAATATATTTGGCTATATAAATATAAAATTTACTTTAATATGCATATTTATCCACATACATTCTGTCAATGTTAATTTTATCAATGTAAATATTATATAATAATAATCTAATACTTCTAACATATCAGATAGACAAATAATAAAGTATTTTTAAACAATATAGTCATCATATATCAATATAAATAAAACAATAATTTATAGAAGAATTAAAATCAGAATATCATTCAGAAAGATGTATACATTTAGATTTGTAAAACTCTAAGATTTCAAGCAAAATGAAATTCAAGTAAAATTAAACTTACGAATGGAATGGCACTTTCTTGTAACCTTGTTCGCATCAAAGAGCTACGATCAAAATCGCTCTCTGAAAAGTGCAATGAGCATAAATGTGGGGACTTGGATAAAGATTCCACATGAAGACCCATAGCTTTAATCCAAGTCAATTTTTTGG